TCTTCCGATCTCCCCAAAACCCCAAAACCCCAAAAGACTATTTCTTTAAAAATAATTGATAAATAATAATTAATTTCTAGAAATACCAAAGAAAAAGTTTACCCAATCAACTTCTAATTTCTCAGATGTTCTAGAATATCAAGTCTATTAAAAATATCCAAAAGCAATTAGTAAAATGCAAGTCTACGATACTCAACACACCATCAAGAAAATTCGCTAACTTTTCTCCTTAGAACTATAGCAATTTGGGTGGCTATGCTCTGATTGGATCAGGGACTGCAGGTCTTATGTATTTGATGTACAGAGGTCAAATGCTCGCTTAAGAGAGATATCAGATGCCAATGAGCCAAATCTAGCAAATGCACTTTTTCAACAGAACTGTCTAGGAGAGAATCAGGTCTACTATGGGTTATTTCACTGGAGGATTATTTGCCACAGGCCTTATGGTAGGTCTTCTGAGGAATTCTATGCTAGCCATTACCAATCCATGGATCTTGCTTTTTGGAAGTTTAGGTTTATTGATTGGCACCCAAGTCACTAATTACTATCAATCACCTATTCTTAAACATTTATTATGGGGTGGCTTCATTTCAACAATGGCCTTAACAATGGTACCTTTAATTAGCATGGCTGGAATGCCTGTAGTATATGATGCTCTATTTGCAACAGGAATATCTATGGGAGGCTTAGGACTTGTAGCGTACAATGCCCCTAGTGAATAATTCTTAAGATGGGGAGGAGCCCTTGGAATGGGATTGGCTGGGATGATTGGTATTGGCATAGCTAGTATTTTCTACCCCAGTAAGAATTTATTCAATATCTGGTTGTATGGGGGATTAATATTGTTCTGCTTATTTGTACTTTATGATACCCAGCAGATTATTTACAGGGCTAAAATCAATCCATATTATGATCCAATCAATGAAAGCCTCAGCATATACTTGGATGCAATCATGATTTTCCAGAGATTTTTGTTGATATTCATGAGTAATAGAAATAAAAAGTGAAGTCTCAGGTTATGAGTCTTTCACTAATCATATAAGACTCTTTAATGATGAGTTCATGTATAGATATGAATTCGCATTTGTAAGATAATATTTTTAAGAATGATAAATTTAAGATTTAGGATTCAAATTTAGATGATTTTTACAATAATCCAATTTTAATTGTCTAAAGGGGTTTTGGGGTTTTGGGGTTTTGGGG